ACCCCCATCTGGTGTGCAATGAGGCGAAGACCAATCAATAATGCATGGCTACATGAATAACCACCATGATAACCACTTATTTGGGAAGATGTAATCAGGCCCCATTCTGAGGGTGGATGTTTGTGTGTGTGACGATGTGTGTGCGCCCGAGTCCTCCCACGACACAGTCCCTCTCCCATCTCCCTTCATCTGAGCTCCCTCTAATCCGATATTCCAAAGACATAACATTCAAGAAACCAGGAGGAAGGGCTTGATCCTCATGGTATGTTATGTTCAAAGAGGCCTTCCCAGCCTCTACGCTGGTGATCAGAGTACACAATGACTCCACACACCTGAGCAAACAGCCTGGAGACTGTTGGTTCTCAAACTTGGTCACGCATTAGGATCCCCTGGGAAGTTTTAACAAGTCATGATGCCGGGGTCCGCCTCCCAGTGACTGGGATTTCACTGGCAGGTTGTGACCTGGCAATAGATTTTTTAAAAATCTCCACAGAGGAGTCCAACATGCAGTCAAGGCTTCACATCCCTATCTGAGACCCAACAAGTGTCAGTGCTAGAGAGAATGTTCCTGATCCTCTAGCTTTCACATTTTATACCTGAGGAAACTATCACCAGGAGAAGGGACAACCATCTTCCCAAACCTCTGCTCTGGGGCACTTTCCACAGTCCTGCACCATGCGACTCATCCATGGGGAGGTTGTGGAGACAGGATTGACCCCGTATCCAGTCTGTTCCAAAAACTCCAAGTGGCTCTTTCCAATTTCCTGGGTCCTTGGCAAGCTCAAGGAGTCTGAGTTCCTCCATCCTGTGTGTGCGTGTGTGTGTGCGTGTGTGTGTGTGTGCGCGCGCGCATGCCCGCGTGCATGTGTGTACATCTGAGTCCTCCCACAACATAGCCCCTCGCCTAGTCAGTGGAGGCTGCCACAGCAGAAAGGAAGGGCAGAAACCCTGGGCCTTCTGGAGGATGAAGGCTGGACCCTTCTCTCCAAGTCCTCATTCTCCCTGCTGAAGGCCCCCACCCACTGAAATCCCTCTCTTCAGTAACTGGTCACAACCCACTCCTTTATGGAAAGCCCTGATGAAAGGCTTATGAAAGCCCTCCCTTTTCCTCTCTGACCACGCCCACACCACAGAAGCTGATGGGCACTAATGAGCTGGAGCAGGGTGAACAGGGTAGGGAATTGTCTTTATTGTCCAACCCACACCCGCCTGCTTCCTCCAGGCCTGGCAGCCCCAGGGCCTCCTGGGGAGGCCTGGCTTGACAGACGAGGGCTTGAGAGCTGAGGGCCAGGCAGGACTGGATGAGTCCGACTCTGTCCCTGGGCCAGGATCTCAGATGGAATCCAGGGCTTACTGCCCCTGGGATCAGTGATAGTATCCTGGAAGCCATGAGGGGTTGTTTTTCCTCAGGAAATGGCACGGCTGGGCTGTTAGTGTTGGACCAGGCCTCTTCCAAGGCTGGGAAGGGAGGACACAAGGGAGCTAGTCTGAAGATTTGCTGCTTTGGGTACTTACCTGACCCTGATAGGGGCCTTTTGTCCCTCCTGAAGCGTGTAAAGAGGCGGACTAGGAGAGCATCTGATAGGGAGATGTCCTGGGAAGTGGAGAAAGCCAGGTGGGTCCTGGGAGCCGCCCCTGTAGGCCAGGGCTAGAAGGAAGAGCCTGCTCTGTCAGACTGGCCTGGAGCTGGGGCTATCTAGCTTTGAGCTTCCCCAGCCCAGAGCCACTAGCACAGAAGCTTGCCCAGCGCTCAGATGGAAAGATGGACTTTCTCTGGCAACCAGGCAAACAACCCCTTTATACTAGGTCCCCAAGTCTCAGTCACGCAAACCCCTTTCTCTGCTCGCTGAGCACACAGGAAGCTCGCTCTTGTGTATCCAGAAGCCCTGAGCCCCTTTCACCTCTAGAACTGGCAGACCCCACCCCTCCTGGGAGAAGGGAAACAGGGATTCCTCAGGGGACAGTCACCTCAAGCTGTCTCCTACTCCTTCTGTGGCTTGTCCAGGGGGCAGCAGAGGCCTGAGACTTTCAATGTGTCCCTGGGCGTGAGCATCAAAAGAGACTGTGTCCTCAGGCAAGGCACTTCACTTCTCTGAGACTCTTCTCCAAGCCATGATCATCCACCATCCTAACTGCCCACCCTGTGGCCTGTGGGCATCATGGAAATCAAAGGGGCAACTCCATTGGAGCCAGCAAATGTCTGTGGGGCATCCAGTGGGATCCATTTACTGCCACGGATGCCCCTCACCTCCTGGCCCTCAGGATCTCTTGATGGAAGCCACAAGTCACCAACCATGCTACAAAATGTAGTGGAAAATCTGGGACAGGAGAGACTCATTCTGACTCTGGGGTAAAAGAGCTAGAGCCTGTCTGGAAGAGTACATGGTCAGGAAATGCCAGGGCTGGGGGTGCACTACCCTCTGAAGAGCTGTCTCCACCTTGAAGGGTTTTCCGGGGATCTGCCTCCTGCCAGAAAAGGGACCAGCCTGGCGCTCCAAGTGTCAGGGAGCTGGCCTCCAGCTCTGGCTTTGCCATTCTTTCACATGTGACCCTGAGCAAGTCACTTAGTCCTGTTGAGTCTGTTTCCAGATCTGTGTAACTGGGATAATAATCACATTCAACTCACAAGATTGTTGTGAGGATTAAGTCAGACAACAGATGCAACCGTGCTTCATTTAAAGAAAAAAGAAGTTAAAAGCAACGACAGATATTGTCTGGGCTGTGGACCTCTGCTTCCAGGTCTGTGAACTGAGACTAATGATGCTGCCCTGTCCCCTCACACCCTCATCCTGTGCCGGAGGGGATGACCGACAGGAACCGCCTCTGCGGTAAACAGACAGTGCATATGTCAGGGATTGTTACTGTTGTTGCTATTACCGTTATAATACAAGGGTCTAATACATTTTATTAAAGCATGATAATTATTGTTTATCATCATCTCCATAAAATCCTCCCCACCCAGCCTGCCATCCCTGCTCAAGAGGGGCTGCCTCCGCCTGACCTCTCTGCTCCTCTCCCTGCAGTGCCACCCGATGACCCTGTCATCCTGGGAGGGCCTGTGATCAGCCTGCGGGCGGGGGACCCCCTCAACCTCACGTGCCACGCAGACAACGCCAAGCCTGCAGCCTCCATCATCTGGTTGCGAAAGGGAGAGGTCATCAATGGGGCCACCTACTCCAAGGTGAGACTCTGGCAGAGAACAAGAGGGAATAGCTTGGGGAGAGACTGGTGGGAAGGGGAGAAGATCAACTGGAGAGGAGCTGATAGGGAGGGGCCTGGGTAGGGGTTTGGTGGGGTGGGAACCAGCTCTGCCTGTCTCTCTGTAGCTGTCACTCTATGTGTGTCTGTCTGTAGCTTTTTGTTTCTCTCGCACCTTGTCTCTGCAAGACGCTTTTCTCATTCTCTGTCACTTTTTCTCCCTATGACTCTCCTACTCGTCTGTATGTATGTCCATCCTTTTATCTGAAGTTTACTTTCTCCAATTCTCTCTCCTTCCCCTCTCCCCCACCCCGCCCCCCAACCCCCATGGGCTAGGCTAGACTTGGTGAAGAAAGGGTGATCAGAAAGCAGAAAGGGAAACTCAAGAATAGAAATGCCAGGGGCCAGGGTCTAGGACCTGGGGATGCCAGATAAAATACAGAATGCTCTTACAGTGTAAACATTTGTGCCCCTCCACCCCAAATTCACATGTCAAGATCCTAACCCCTAAGGTGATAGTATTAGGAGGTGAAACTTTTGGGAGGTCATTAGGTCATGAGGATAGAGCCCTCGTGGATGGGATTAGTGCCCTTAAAAAACAGGCCAGAGGAAGACCCTTCTGAATTGTGCGGACACTGCCAGAGGGGGCCATCTATGAGCCAGGACATGAGCTGTCACCAGAGATCTTGGACTTCCTTGATCTTGGACTGGCCCACCTCCAGAAATAACTTCCTGATGTTTTATGAGCCACCCCAGTTTTATGGTATTTGGTTATAGCAACACAAATGGGCTAAGACAGATGCCCAGTTAAATCTGGATTTTTTTTTAAAAAGTAATTTTTTTTAGTATAAATATGTTCCAAATATTGCATGGGACATCCTTACGGGCCATACTTAAACTAAAAAATTATCATTGTTTATCTGAGATTCAAATTTAACTGAATGGCCTGTATTTTTATTTGCTAAACCTGGTTGCCTTTCCAGGGCTGTCAAGTAAGGCTGTCCAAGATGCCTGGTTCAGGCCAGAGATTTAGCCTAGAATCCCTTACTAAACCCACCCCTGCTGTGCCGACCAACAGGGGCGCGTTTCTCTAATTCACCACCAGGTGTCACGGGCTGGAAGTCCCCTGAACTTGCCCCCGTAATCATCGGGTTTTTTTGTTGTTTTTGTTGTTGTTTTGTTTTTGGTATTTGATGATGATTTGATGGCTCAAGGCCTGGTAGACCCAGGAAGGGACCAGGGTTAGCTAATTCTTAGGGGCAGCAAATAATTTGCCAGCAAGCATGCCTTTGATATGCAGGCCAACCAACCCTGAGTCCAGGTCCTTTCTAGCAGTTTGGGAGGCTGAGGTGAGAGGATTGTTTGAGCCCAGGAATTCAAGACCATCCTGAGCAACTTAACGAGACCCCACCTCTACAACGAAAAATTTAAAAATTAGCTGGATGTGGTGGCATACACCTGTAGCCCCGGCTACTAAGAAGACTGACGCAGAAGATCACTTGAGCCCAGGAGTTCGAGGCTGTGGTGATCTATGATCCTGCTACTGCACTCCAGCCAGGCACTAGAGCAAGACCCTATCTCTAAAATATATTTTTTTTACAAAAAGAAAGTTATTAAAAAAACAAAAAGCAATTGTCTCCTGATCTGTTAGCCTCTCCATAATAAAAACAAAATCCCAGGTACATTTTTTTTTAACTTGGGGTCTCACTTTGTCCCCCATACTGGAGGGTGGTGGCACATCATAACTTACCACAGCTTCAATTTCTGGGCTCAGATAATTCTTCCACTTCAGCCTCCCAAGTATCTGGGACTACAGGTCCATACCACCACGTCTGGCTAATTTATTTTTATTTTTGTAGAGACGAAGTCTTGCTATGTTGTCCAGATTGGTCTCAAACTTCTGGGTGCAAGCAATCCTCTCACCATAGCCTCCCAAAGTGCTAGAATTACAGGGATGAGCCACTGCGCCTGACCACCCAGATACATTTTTAAACAGCCCCCATCAAACTCCACAAAGGAGACTGTGCAGAGTTCCAGTCAGGGTTGATGGACCACAGAGCCTTTAAGATGCAGGGGATCTTACTGGACAGCTGAGCCAACCTCTATTGTCTGCAGATAGAAAATTGAGGCCCGGCAGGGAAGTGACTACCCTTCTCAGCGGTCGAGTGGGCAGTACGAGGCCTGGAACCGCAGTCTCCTGATGCCCAGGCCTCTACTTTTTCCTGTGCTCCTCCCAGCGCAGCCTCAATGGATGGGCAGCTACCTGGTGTGCTCAGAGGGCACCATTCAGAGGCTGTTTCAGGGCCCAGGGTGAGTCAGCCTCCCGGGTTCTGCGTCTGGAGGAACCACCCTCCAGCTCTCCTCAGCTCTGAGGGCCATCCTCAGCCTCAGGGAGTGAGGAGGTACAGTGAATGAGAAGCCTGCTCCCCAGTCCTGACCTACCTCTGGCTCCTCTTCTCAGATCCTGGGAAGATAAGCAGGGCCTCTGCCATCCCTGGAGGATGTGAGGCAAACCTGTTCCTGCTCTGAGGGTGTGTCCTTCCTGTCCTAAAATGACCACCCTGCCAGGGCTGCTGATCACAGCACCCAGAGTCTGGTGCCATGACCGAGGACAAACATCTTCCCTTGGGCACAAGTCCATGGGCAGGGGACAGAGAGGAAGCTGCCTCTTGAGAGACCAATCCCCCACTCGTGTCCTGAAGCTACCTTGTTATGTTATAAAATACAAAAATATGACACAGGAAGTGGATTTTCCAGAGGAGGCTGAAAAGGAAGGAAAGCAGTGTTCCTTCTAGTTTGTCCAGGCCCTCCCTGAAGTTGGGCCAGCCTGGCCTCTGCCAGGGTTTATGTCCACAGAGGACACACCCACCTGGTGAAGAGAGAGGTCAGGGTCATCCTGCTGGATTTGTTCTGGCACTCACTACCTTGACCCCAGCATGTCATCCTCGTCCATGTTGTAAAGGTCCCACAGACAACCTGGCACTGTGCTCCTGGAGACTGGGGCAGGAGAGGCCACCAGCCACCCTCTGCCCCAACCCAGGAATGGCAGCATTGGGCAGCCAGGGCCCTGGGTTCCAGATACCCCTCTGTCTAACCTCCGGAAACTCACTCCCTGGGCCTCAGTTTCCCCATCTGCAAAACAAAGACGCTGGCTCAGATGCTACAGAAAGGAAAAAGATTCCTCGGGCAGCAGTCACCTCAGGTGGTCTCCTGGGAGCCCTACCCCTTCTGTGGCTTGCCCAGGGAGCAGTAAAGGCCTGAGACCCTCAATGTGTCCCTGAGCATGAGCATCTGAAGAGGCTCTACATTCTCAGGCAAGGCACTTCGCTTCTCTGGACCTCTTCTCCAAACCATGATCACTCACCCATCCTATGGCCCATGATCATCATGGAAATCAAAGGGGCGGCTCCATTGGAGCCAGCAAATGTCTATGGAGCATTCACCAGGCACAGGGCTCTGTGCTGAGCACCGATGAGCAACAAGCCTATGACTTGGAGCACACTGAGAAGAGCGAACAATCCCAGGGCTCCCAGGGAGCAGGCTGTCAGAGCCCACCCTTGTGATTCCCTCGCCCAGGGGCCCAGTCAGAACCACAAGGACCATCATCATAGGCCAGCAGCACTTCTGATTTCCCTAGACAGGACACACAGGAGGAGGGGCGGGAACATTCGCAGTTCAGAGACAGAGAGGCTGAGAGTGCACATACATGCACACGCAACCAAGCAGCCTCCAAGGTCCACAGCAAAGACCCCGAGGGCAGCTTTCACCACCCTTGGGTCTGAAGCCTGCAGTATCTGCCACATGGTAACACCCGTGGGCTCAGGAACTGGCGGCCTACATTTGGATCCAGGCTTTGCCACCTTCTGGCTGTATAACCTAGCCTCGCTGTGCCTCCCTCTCCTCATCTATACAATGGGAGCAACAACAGCACCCACTTTCAGGGACAGCTGTGAGGTCTGAGTGAGCACTCAATGAGCACGGCTGTTCGGATTGCTGCCACCCCCTCTGGATCCTCCCGAGCCCAGGGCCCACCTTGCCAGCTGCATTTCCAGTGTCATAGAAGGGTAGGCCGCATGGTTCTACAGACCTAGGTTCAAACCTGGGCTCCATCACATGTTCCAGGGACTTAATCTCTCTGCCTCAGTTTCCCCACCTGCAAAATGAGGATGATAATAATATGGTCACCTGTTCAAAGGAATTATGCATTGAAAGTACCTTGTAAAGAGTGGGGTATGGGACAAGGGCTCTGCAGATGTTATTACTATTACAGACTCCCTTCCCATAGAAGGAACCCCAGGTCCTCCGCCCCAGAAGTCATACAGCTATTTCATTAAAAGCCAACCCTGCCGGGCTCGGTGGCTCAGCCTGTAATCCCGCGCTTTGGGAGGCTGAGGTGAGTGGATTGCCCGAGCCCGCGGGTTCGAGACCCGCCTGGGCAGCAAGACCTCATCTCTACAATAAATCAAAAAATCAGCCGGGCGTGGTAGCGCATGCCTGTAATTCCGGCTACTCGGAAGGCTGAGGCGGAAGGATCGCCGGAGCCCAGCAGGTCGAGGCTGCGGTGGCCGGGAGCGGCCACTGCACTCCAGTCTGGGCGACAGAGTGAGACTCCAACTCAAAAAAACAAAAACAAAAACAAAAACAAACCAACCCTAGCTGGGCTCGGTGGCTCAGCCTGTAATTCCGCGCCTTGGGAGGCTGAGGTGAGTGAATTGCCTGAGCCCGCGGGTTCAAGACCCACCCCGGCAACTTGGCGAGACCTCATCTCTACAATAAATCAAAAAAAATGAGCTGGGCGTGGTAGCACGCACCTGTAGTTCCAGCTACTTGGAAGGCTGAGGTGGAAGGATCGCCGGAGCCCAGCAGGTCGAGGCTGCGGTGGCCAGGAGCGGCCACTGCACTCCAGTCTGGGTGACAGAGTGAAACTCCAACTCAAAAAAAAAAAAAAAAAACCAACCCTGGTCTCAAAGTCTCTGTCTTGCC